TATACGTGTATGTACTGGGTCTAAAGAGCTTTGAGGAACGAGGATTTGCTAACTCTCTAAGACTGGGCTCGCTTGAGCCGACTAATCTCTAAAAGGCTCTACGCTGTTCGGTGTACCAGTTCCTTTACTCGCATCATGCATCCCAGGAACACGATGATAGTTTTGCCGGGTTCCCAGCAGTTAACGCTTCTTGCCTTCTTGAGGTCGTTCATTCTGAAATGTCCTTCTTTCTTAAAAACCTTTTTTGCCCTAGCTTTCCTTCTTCCACGTCCATTGTAAGTCCGAATTATGTACGTTTTTGTGTATAAAGGAACGAAGAGCTATCCTCCCAGGCGAATTCGGTTGTCACCCCACTCCTTGGAAATGTTCAATCCTTAAGAAATGCCCTTGCGGTTACAGCCCATGGGTTTTGGCTCGTTGGCTATCAAGAAAGACTGTGCAACGAAGCTTGCAAGAGAGAGTCCCGAAGCACGGAGCTATTTATTATCAGAGCACATGAAGCTAGCTTGTTAGTCTCCTTGAGCTGACGATATGAAACGTTGCGTAAGGTGGCATCGTGTTTTGGGCTAGCGGAGGGTCAGTAAGCGTCTGCCTTCATTGTTGTTGAGAACTCCGTGAGTTACAGTCTGCCTAACAACCGTTTCAATAGTCAACTGATGCCGCCCCATCTGCTGTAGTCAACGATAAACATTTCCTTAATTAAACACGTAAATGTCTGAAACACTGAGGATCTATGCCCTTCCTGAAGACCCATGCCGAGTTAATCAGCAAAGCCAATATATCATGTTCCCTATAAGGACGCAATTTACTAGCCAGGGTGTAACTTACGAACAGTAAGAATATAAAGGTTTCACAAGTGTTTTCCCTCTAAGCCGAAATGTAGGTCCCCTAGCCCATTACATCTACAGAGCACAGCAGCGACTGATCAGCTGTCCAGATGAATAGGTAAGTAACTACCGCACTCATTTTATGAAAATTTAAAGAAACAGGTGATCTGGGACAGTGTGGCCTCTCGCCCCATCATTCGAATACAGTGGTGAGTACGTTTCATTCCGTTTTGTCAATGAATGCTCAGAAGAATGTTCGCTTACATACATAAACTACAAAATGTACGTATATTTAATAAAGAGATGCGGTTAATATTAGCGTTATTTTGTTGGTAAGAACTTTACACGCATAAACTGTAATTAGCTATTAGATGTGCCACATCAAGGGCACTGTCGATCGAAAACGACAGAGTAACACCTGTTGTAATTGCCCCACAGTGGCAAGCTCGGCGTTAGTTAATTCTGTCGGTATGTAGCCGTAGCAGAAAGATGCTTTTCAGTAGCGGCACAAGTAACTGTTATTAACGTATCATTACTCGATTTTCGCAAATCCAACGCCGTTCGGTGCTGTTGTAATTTTTCGACTTTCCTCGTCTAGTTATTTCGCCGATATCTTCCCTTATATTTCCATATCTTTTCTTTTCACAGTTACCTGCAATACTTGCCTTCGCTGCTGTCCTGTTTCTATTCTTGTCCATTCATTTACATGAATCCGCACATTCTTTTCGTTTGGTTTTCCGCAGCTTTCGTCGGCTTCTATGTCCTGATATTCTACGGTGTTATACTGTCTGTCATTTTTAGTTTCAGTCAGAGATACGTTAGATGCAATGATGCAGGGGAACACTGACGGCGAAAAGAGTCACCTAAACGCCGCTAAAGCACTTTGCGGTGATAATCTTGGGTCGGGCGTTCTATTAGCAGTTTTCTCGGGGGGCGGGCTCGGAAACCACGCCCACTTTCGCCACCGTCAGGCTAGACCCTATGTTCGATTTTGGCGGTCGCGGCTGTTCTCGTCGATAGGTATGGCAGGACCAGCCCTGTTAAGAGCAGCGCTCCCCCGATCGACACCCAGAGCAGAACGAAAAACAAGTTAAGAAGAACTACTATTGGCACCAACAATAGAATGGGCTGAAGAAGCAGTAGTAAAAGGAATGGAAAGACGTAAAGCGACTCTTGCTGTTTCATCTTTAGTAAAGGTCTGTGCGATGATAGTTTCAACCATGGTCTTAGCTTAGAAATTGCATTATTATTATTGTTGTCGTTGCAGCGCTTTCCTCTCGCACGGGCCTCCTGCTTACACATGTACACTATGATTTCGTGTTTATCTGTCGAGATACACAAGGGAACGGACACACGTTCACGTTTCTGCTCGTCTGTTACAGTTTTTTTAGGTCAGCCTAAAAATCAAAGGCAGGAAGAAACATCACCACAGGCGCAGCCACCTACAAAGCGAAAGTCAAGAGACCAGATTTCGTATGTTATTTACAACAATAGTAAGGCAGCGTTTTTTTAGTTCAACTGATTCGCGCAAGGAGGACCCCGGGAGGGGGGGCGGGGGGTACGAAAAACAATAGGTTGTAAAGCCACAATCCGTCGAGCGTGTGAGTCACTGGGATGAGGTCAGCTAGACCGTTGAACTCTATATTGGCTTCGATTTCATGTAAAGGGTAAAAGAGACCGCAAACTGACGGATGAATAGACGGATATAGCATAAAACACCGCCTCGTTATCTGCAGTTAACAGTTAAAATAAGATAGGAAACAGCATTGATCGAGGAGAACCATGAAAGGTGGTGTAACCGGCGATGCTTCCTTTAATGATCATATTTGACGTATACGGTCTTCGCTTCCATGGCATAATAGAAACCAGATTATCGGTCACTTAAAATCTGATGTTAATAAATCAAGTAACTGAAACAATTTGAGGAAAAACGCACGATTGGCTTCCTGTGCTATAGACGTCAAATTGCGCGCGTTCACCCCTACATTACTGCGCAAATGTAACAGATAAAAATAGTATGGCCCATAAATGCGTTGAAGTGGCTGGCTTCAGGACGCACTTCGTTTAACTAATTAAAAAATATGTCATTTTTATTTTAGCTTAAAGAATACTTGCTTTTTTTTTGAAGAACTTATATGCAAAAGGTACATGCATGAATGAACTAATTGCTAGATAGCCACGAACCGTTCTATATTAGCATGTTTTTGAGCATTAGGAAATAGATTATACCTTGAAGCATAAAGCTTGTTTATGGTTGGCGCCACAAAAAACAGTACGAACAATTGAATTTTCCTCCGTTTCCCTTTAGGCTGAACCCAGCGAAAGACTCCTCCTGTATAACGAATAGTATTCTGAATACCGGCATATGCATAGTTTACTTATAATTGGCCAAACGCTTCGTTGACTAGAGGTCTCGATCACTATATCTTTTATGCTCGCGCACCCACTAACAATAACCGTCAGTCATCGAGCAGTAAAATGAATCAATGTTTCATTGTTTTTTTTCGACCCGAACCAGCACTGTCCCGGTATTCGTCGTAGATGGCGTAGGGGCTTTTATCTGACCTTGATAGCCTTGCGGCCTCTAAATAAAAGGTTGACAATGAAATCCTTTAAGAGGCATTGGCAAGCAATAGCGGCTAGTGTCCAAGAACGCTTTGCACGTAGACTGTATGTTGTGAGCATTATTCCATCGCAATTTTAAAGTCCGCGTGCCTTCAGTGTGCATGATTTAATGACTTGCCATGGAAGTAAACTGCAGCCTTTGATTTTACATCAGTGGTACTGTTGCTGGGGTGCCGCGAGACGTTCACATCCATCTGACGTACAACACTGCCGAACTATCCCGGCCGGAGGCCATTTATGTCAGAGTATTTCGCCAGCCCGGTCTGGTCCAGGCAGGATAGGCAATGTTCTCCGAAGCAGGCGAACTTTTTCAGCTGCCTTGGACCTGAAAAGGTCCCACAAATCTAGCTCGCATCATAGAACCGGGCCTTCCCTGGTCTATGCTCCTTTGACGTTTACGACAGTTTATCTAGACGCACATAGTGAAACACAAACTTAGCTATCGATTTGACCCTATTCTTAAGCATTCTCGAGTAAGTCAAGCGACGTTAGTGTTCTTAAAACACTACGCGATAATAAGCTTCGTTTCATTATCCAAACAACTTTATGATGTACATCGTAAATCGTGACGCGTCCCGTTTACTTACGCAACAATGCAAATAACTATGGCAGCTAAATTAATATTTAATGCTAGCTTATAAAAGTTATCAAGCTAAAAGGATGTATTGATACAGATCATTTATTGTTTGCGGCATACAGTCCTCGGCCAGCCTAAGAGTGACATACTGCAGGGATAACAGCCAACCGGTAGAATATCCTGTGGTTCACTGCAGATGTTTAATAGCTGCTACCATTGACTGGTATTAGAAATAATGGCATGGGGACTAAATTTCCCTAAACGGGCAGTTCAGGTCCCAAAGCTGTCGTTACTAATCGCCTTCGAAAGACGAGCGGGGTTTGTTTTATCACTAACGGCTCACAATTGACGCTTAGGACAACAAGCTAGCCGCTGCGAAATTCAGTTAGATATATTAATGGTGTAGCTTAGTGGGTACTGTATTTATATGCTAATCTTAGGGATAGGTCACGAATTCGCGCATAGACACCCAGCTCGTTTCATGCTGGAAGCCCGGCGTCTGACGGAGTGCCCGACGGTGATGCCAGACGTAAAACTCGAAATTGTATTAGTGGCGTCTTCGCAACAACAGTCACAAACAATGATCAAACGTTTCGGCGATGACTAGACACTTTCGTCACAAGTTTATCGTGATTTGGCAATGTCTGCGTGCGGGTTGGTCCAGCACTCGAAGAAGCGGGCGCATATCAACTTTAATTGCTTTCAGAGGAATATTAGATTTAGTCGAAATTGCTCCGAGTGACGAACAGGGTGCCGCAGATCACTCCATATTCAACTGAAAGACCGAGCACATACTACGAGGTCGAGGAAATACGCAACCGGGTCGTCAGAGTCCTAAAGCGACATCTTTCTCTTGTCGTAAGTGAATACAGACTAAGGACTTACTATTTGCCTTTCTGGTACGTCCCAGTATGGGCTACTTGGTGCACAGGGCAACCGTGGCGTGGAATCTTATGCAGACAACACACATCTCCGCTTCATACAGTGCACACTATTTATTAATACATAGACAGACCGTTACGATATTGTTCAGTGACATCCGCTGGAGCAGGAATAGCAGCAACGCTGGTAACAGTCACACGTCAATATGTTCGTTTGTTTCCAGGCAACACGGTCAGAATGCGCTGTTTTTGGCTGGAAACAAATTCTATTTTCCCGTTCCTCGACGGCGCATTAAGCTGGCCACAATTTTCACCGCTTTTGTTGTGTTGGTGGCCAGCCGACGAACTGGAAAAGAAAAGCTAACTTAGAAGACGGGTCGAAAAACAAGGCTTCGGGTAGATGAAATGAAAAACCACTGTAGCAAATGAGAAGAATGGGGAAATGAGCAGAAACAACTTCGGACAGCCACGTACAAACACTGTTGCAAGTTTGGCACTAATACAGAGAGAAAACGTCTTTGTATAAGTAACGTTTTTTTAATTACACCCTTTGGCCTGGCCAGCTCACCACTAACGTTTGAAACGTTAGTCATTTTCATTATTTGATAGGGAGAATATGGAAGAGGACGCGAGATGGAAATGCAGTATATATGAATATGTCCATGAATATATTGCGATGAAGTACGAGGGTCATTTCGATCTATGCCATTTTTGGCACGTCTTCGCAATACGTAATCCGAGTTAAAACAGAAAGCTCGTTCTGCATTCAACCAATAGCAAAGTATCTGCATGTAGTATAACCAGCAGCGCAACTGCTCTACAACGACATTCGTACGTTACTCATAGCATAGACATGTAATGCTATTCATAGCATTCAGCCAGTCTATAAAGCAGCCTTGAAAAGTCCTCAGCCCTCTTCTTCAATCTCTAAATCAAGAGGAAAAACTTCTTTCCAAATATAATAGCCGGATAGAAAAATCGTTGATCGATACCGATGTCAGTAGAGCTTACGCAACGCCAGATTCAGAAAAAGAGTTATCACTTAGTCCGAATATTGTAGAGATGTTGAAAAACCAAAATGAATCGAAGTACAATTGAGGAAAAGAACACAAAAATAATGTTTGTTCTTTTGCTGTTTGTACACCAGCTGCCTCGGCCAGCTGCTCGTTAGAATTATAAGTCCCAGAGGAACCTCACGTATCCCTGACAGGATCTTGTATGCAACCAAAAAGTTACGCACATATGCAACGTTGCATCTCAGTACGCAACGATAACCATTCGAGGTAACGATTATAAAGGTCCCGCGTGATTGCACCCCAATCCAAATCACCTAGCGCACGTGGTGGCCTAGCCATTTCGCGTCGTTCTGGCCAGTTTCTAACCCTTATCTGGGCTAGGTTTTATAGTGAGGTAGTATAATATGATCTACTTTAGCTCTGTTAAGGCTTTCTGATGTTGCACGTCATTAGGGGCATAGTTGCCTCAGCAGCTGCAACAAAATTTACAGACAGAAAACATCAGTATTTTTCTATGTTCTGCTTATTTCTCTTGAAGATAATGTGTTTCCGTAGATGGCTTCACAATATATACAAATGGCCAAAGCAGCTTGAAAGTTTGTTCACGTATAATATAGCCTATAGACAGCGTTGTTTGTCTGTAAAGGGACAGCCTATACGCGTATATGTCTCAAATGCGTATATATCGCTAAGCCCAACGTAAGGCTCCGCGTTATATACAGCATTTGTAACAGCGTTGTTGAACTTGGTTGATCGTTTGGTTGGTTCATAATATATAGTATAATTATATAATAATATAATAGGCCATGCGACTTCATCTTGGTGGAACACGAGGCTCCATGTAGATGGCGTTCGATGACCAACTGCAGCGTACCGGAGCAATACCACGGACTCGGAAAGAAGAAAGCGGAGCTATCGTATCAAAACTAGCCGTTGCTTAACAAGTTAGAGAACTCATGGCGACAAGTGTCTAACCAACAGTACATTACACTTTCCCCTTTACACTTAGAAAGCCATTAAACGTGATTTCAAGTTACTTTACTTCATTTTTGCGATATCTTAAAAACAAGGAGCTATGCCGCAGTTATTGCAAATCACATGTTGCACCTAACCGTTCTCACTGATCTATAGTGCTCTATGGAGTCGAAACCCGTATGCAAAAGACAGGCCAAAAGTAGACTTACGGCAGGGACATGTATAAGTAGAACGATAGGAGAAGGCAGGGTTTCTGTTTAGACAAAGCGTAAGTTTTCAGCTTTTATGTGTGCAGTATATACATAGTACATGACCACCGCATACCTTAAGCACTATTCCTAACAAAACAGCTCTGCAATAGAAGCATCAGTTCCATTTCTGCTAGCAGTTGTCGATTAGAAACACCTAACCAGCCGTTCCCACAGAAACGTCCTTTAGACGCTGATCTTTTTCTTTTGATTTAAAAAGGCCGTAGTCAGAAGTAAGGTCGCAACAAAAATAATGTAAATACCTGCAAAGCCGGTGTACAAAGCGCAGATAAAAAGTACTGGGATCATCACAGCTTTTCAGCGTAACCGTAGCAGCTTCAACGTGGTCCTCTCCGTAAAACGAATTATGCGCCAAAACGTTGTTGTGTGAATGCGACCACGTTCCGCTAGTACGTCTGATACAACAATATCCTATATAGCGTTGAGCCCAATAAATCCATACGATATCTTGTGGTGTCTTGCTGATCGAACTTGTTATGACGGCGAGGGGAACTAAGCAGCGTCTGTCAGTCTGTTCTTCATCGTTTAAGGGATAAGATGTGCTTCTTGATGGTGGGTCGTCACACCTAGCAACGACGCACATTAGCGCGTCATGTGGCGCCAACATCGGGTTGCGCCCAGTAGTAAAGAAAGGGGCACATACGTGGGTTAAAGCCGAGTTATATCTGTCATAATACCATCGTGTATCAATGATTTGATCGATCAATGAACTGCTCCAGATCATTTTGGCAAATCAATCACACCGACTGTACAGTCGGTATCAACGCCGCGGGACATCGAAGAGCCGAAAGTATTATCGCTTTTTGTTGGTTAGCAATGCCTGAGACGATCGCGATACACACGCACACGGAAAGGGACGAGGACACAAATCTGCAGACGAATATCCTCAATAGAAGTCGATACCCGATCGACTTCAATTGAATGATGGTAATAATATTAATGCACAAACATTTAATGCGTCACTCAGCCTGAGGTGGCGGAATGGCAACAGAGCGGTGGCGGAGCGCCGAACAAGAGGACACAAACGGACGACGCGGTCACATTCCTATCGTTCAATCGATTTTACGTGAAGTGCAGTAATTCGGCTATTCTGGAGTATAACATAACAGCGATGATAGATGAACTAATAACACTAACTGACTGCTAACACACGGTAACAGAGACGGTCCTATAATATGGTGGTTCTCATATCTGCTCTACATACACGAAATTCCGATTCGTTCCCAAATATAACGAAGTTTTTTCCTATGTTAGTTTGCTCGAGATCGTTTCCTTTTTCTCTATTTTCGTTTTCATGATTTAAGCAATTACAATACAATGAAAATATCGCTCAAAAAAAGAGTGTAAAATATTCTCCATGGACAATCGTCGGGTCAGCGCAAGGCTTGCGGCAAAACTCCACATATTCCGATCCACCTGTTTTTCCTCCAGCTGAAGCCCTCCGAGTACTTCAGTAGTAGTACGGCTGCTTGCCGCTGTGGAGGGCCGATACTAAATGTTGTCAAAAACAGAAGATCTTTAGAGTTTGCTAATAGTCTTTAATAATAATGCTTCTTCATCTTAATAATAACAACAACAACTTTTCTGCATCCGCCGAGTCCCGATGAAGTATCCAATAGATATATAAGTGGGCCTCAGCAGATGGCGATGTTGGGCTGACTAGCCCAAATCAGAACAAACACGTTTAATGATAACTTCGCAGCCCGCACCTGACTGCATTTTTTGGAACGCTTGCAAACCTACGTAACTCGATTAAAATAGCCTATAATGTTTGCATTTAAGGCTATAGTAATACACGAACTAAACGACGAGGCGAAGCTCTTCATCCTGGATAGAGCATGAGAATAGTACGTAGCTCATTGGTCTTCACTTGCGAATTCTAGTTGTTCCGTTGCTGTTAAGTTTGCTGCCATAGTAGTAGTAGTAGTAGTAGTAGTAGTAGTAGTAGCACTATATTCCGATTACCAGCGACACAATATATAATACGTAGCAGTCCTCATTGGGCTTCAGTGACTGTTGCTTCTGCGTTCACTTGGCATCACACGTAAATTCAACGAATCCGACTCGCTGGTCAACAATGGCCCTCGTGTGTAGCGCGCACAGAATCGTTGGGTCTCATGTCTACGATAACCATGGCACCGGCAATAGCAGTGGCATGACACGGTTCATATGCTAATTTCGATTTGCTATGGAAATAAGCAGCTGCTACGACTGATGGTCGTTGGCTGGTACAGAACTATTATCTGTTGACGCAAATAAAAACCGTAGTCTTTACGCAGTACGTGCAGAGTTTTTGGACAGTAAAAAGCCATAAAAGTGCCACACAATCCTCTTCACTTGATCCACCCTTGATCCATATCATTACCGCCTAATTACGGCTATATCAGTGACGCACAGATGACTGATAAAAGCCTATTTAGTCGCTAGTTAAATTAAATATTCGTCCAATAGATTTTTGCATTTAAGTCTTTGTTTGTCTTTTCATTGTTTTTCTTGATCTCCTTTTCATTGCGGAACAATTGTCCGTACCGGGACGCACGCAATGGCAAAAATCAATCGACTAACGCAAAGGCAAATTGAAACGTTTTACGAACCTGGAAGCCCGCTAATAGTGTCGCTGAGATCATATTAACAAGACGTTGTTATGGGCTCGGGCTTTTCCGATCACATTTGTTGTCTTCATGCAACCGAACAAGAAGCTAGACAAATCGTAATTAATTAATTAATTAAAAATTACTAGACGGTAATTAAACTGATAATCAGCGAAATTATTATCGCTAATCCAGTAATGAGCATTAAATGCGCATGAATTTGAAGAAATTTGAAGAACAGTTGTGAGTAGTAAGTGCAGTGATCGGATACTCTCGGATAAGTTCTTCGTGTAAAAATTAGCCGGTGCCTTATCTAATCTAATGAAGTTTATCTATAACCCAAAAGATAATTGGTGTCAGCCAATTTCTTCGTGATCATTCTAAAGTTTGACAGCGTCCGAACTCCTTTGCCTAATAGAGCACTATAATCGGGCTATAGTAGTCTGATCATTTTTGAATTGCTTTGAGCATCAAGTAAAGAAGACGCTTAAACTCTTGTTTTTTGCAAAGGTAAGAACCTGAAAAGCGTGCACTGTCAAAACTAGGGCCTTTAAAAGCAACTGGTGATGTAGTTCCGAACAAAAAAACAGATCTAAGTTCATCAGTTACTGCTACCATTCGACTCAGTCGCCTTTCTTGTCAATTTCATTCTCGTCTTCTGACCTGAACCCTCAAACAGACCTCACTTTCACGTTTACCTCAATCGTATGCACCAGTATTTTAGCAAAACGTAACCTGTGGACAGGGAAGCATTTGGATTTCGGTTCTTGGGTCTAAATTTGCTGAACTAATGACGACCCTCACCTGGAGTCACTAAGCGCATCAATTTATGAAATTAACTTCTATTGATATTAGCTGCATAGGTACGATCACACACAAACCTCTAAACAATACCAACATATGTGTTTCGTAATCCGAACCCGTTTAATTGAAATTAATTCAATTAACGGACACTAATGCCATGCCTGTATTCCATATAATGTATAATCTGTATGCAAATTGAAAATGTCTGCTCATAGAACTACCCAGCTTCAAACTAAAAAAACGACATTTTAAGTCATGGTTGAGGAAGACAAAGAAAAGAGCCTATGATGATGAGGCCTAAGAGCCTATTTGTTAGCTGAATGCAAAAACATATTTACACCCCTGCCGCCTCGTTATCAAATCGGTCGATCACGTATATATGTCACGTCAGCTGCATCTTCCCAGCAATGTCTGCTCAGTGAAGTAAGCCACTGGGGCACGCGCCGCAGATTGCTATCGGCCGAACCATAACAATATACTCAGCGGGCTTTTTTAGAACGTTCCACAAACATTTTTGGTTACTGCAAATTGAATAGCCATGACAAAAATGCGTCTTTTAATTATACGAATATCCGTGACGGATTCATGTAACCTTCGATATGTGTCAACAGCAGCAGTTAACCTGATGCTGGTCATTCCACCTCCCAGCGCTTGTTACGTGTTTATTGAAGTATTACAATAAATCTACGACACAGGAAGCCGCCAGCGGCTACCGGTGACATTAAGGGCAGGCGTAGGCCCAATTATGTAAAGGTTCTTTGGGGGCTGCATTCAAGGGAATCATTGGACATAAAAATGTCTTTGGCTGTAGGACGGAATCGGCAACGGGACTTTAGCTTAAACAAATTCGTCTAAAACACACGTTTACCAGAACCATTTACAATATTCTACTTTTTACTATTCTTATTTGTTTCAGCGTGTGCATTAGTTTGAAAAAGTCGAGCGTAACAAGAAAAAATTGAGACGTTGTGCATCGTTGCTTTTCCGTACAAAACGTATATTTGCATTATGAGGACCAAACGCTTTTCATTCGAATAAGATTAACGTGATCACCAGTCACACAGGATCGGAAATGGTTGATGACGGTAACAGGTGTCAACAATCTTGGAACAGGGATGACCGATCATTTCATGGGGCAAATTGAAGAGCCCTACTGCACTGCATGCAGAAAATAAGTATATAACGGTAACTAAATGTTCGAACGTATACACGGTTTGCCTTGGCCGTTGCGTCTTTTCTAGATAGGAGCACATTCAAATCCGCAGAGGAGGTTATATGGAAAAAGTCTTGCCGCCTAAGTTACGTACAACTGAATTGTGTCCCTATAAGAGGTTTAAAAACTAGGTCCAAATAAGAACTCTTCTACCGAGACATACCTTTTCAAGGGTAGCTGTGGCACATACATAGACTGATCGAACTAATCATTTGAATATTTTCGCTCAAAATAAATTCGATAGATCCTCAGGTACGCGGTTAGAGGTAGTACGGCATATTATGATCAGAACAGTTCCGTTAAGCAATTTAAATGTTTTTGTATTTTTTCTTGGCGCAGATCCAATTTTTTACTGCGCACATGATTTTTTCAAGCCGTCATTTGTATACATAGGCGTGGGTTAAGGTAAAGCGTAAAGAGCCATAAGCAGTGTCGACATTATGATTCCGAATATTTCCCGTACAACTTATATCACATCATTTTCGTTTATAGCTGCTGTAGATAGTTGCACGCCACGTCAAAAGAGCTTTGCTCTCAATGCAACAGATGCACTTTTTCACAACCTTTAGTATCCTATTGTAAAACATTGCCATGCAAACCGTCATTTTCGGAAGCTTTACAGAGCCCCATGTGATATAAGCGTGCACCATCCGACTATGAACGCCAACGTTGACGCACGGCGAGAGAACTAAACGGAGTTACTTAAGAAATATTGTACAATGAAGAACCTGTGAAAAGGCTTTCGAACGCCAGTATAGCTGTGATTAGGACGGGTCTTCTCCAGGAGCGAACAGGTAGCAGGATCAAAGCCGATTATTCGATTTCATTGATAAAGACGTGGGAACCCGAACGAAGCTTGGCTTGAAGACCGAACCAATATGTATATCGGACCTATTCGTCATTCACCGCTTTGCTTTCTAATTTAGAAACACTTGGCCGAATGTGACACTATTATCGTCGAGCAACACTGATTTCACAAACTGCAAAAAAAAACGTCACGTATTTATCGTGCTGCCTACATCGCTTCCAGTTGGCTCCAATTCACATTCATCGCACGGGCTATTGAAAACGAAAAAAGCAGGACAGTCGTTTTAATTCGTACGCACAAACTGCACGGCCTAAAAATTATTCAACGGAAGTGAGATCAACGTTTTACGAGTTCCTAGCGGAAGCTTTGAAGTTCACATACAGTATACAGAGCATGCAGCGTTGTTGTATATAACAAAAGGTAATTTTTTCCTGGATAATTTGATTGAAGAATCGAAAAATATTTTCTTGTAACTTTTATAATTTGGGAATGTGCAGACCAACGTATGCTGCTATTAACGACAACGACATCGGGGCAGCGATAGAAGGGAGACAAGGTTCACTATCTAGGTAAGGTACTTTATTGATAATAGTTTTGGTACCTACGGTTAACTTCTACCAAATGGCCAGCGAGAACAGGCTTGCTTTTTTTTCCAAAGCAGCTGAAGGGCTGAAGACGATAAAGTCATGCAACGAAAACACAATATGGTAGAGCAACCGCTTTATGCTTCTCTCGAAAGTTATCTAACATAACCACCTGTTGAAGCCGGGAATTCACTCCCAAGTAATGGAAGCTAAAGAGATACGAGATAAATGCGGTGGGGCCTATTCGCAATCACACGCCTAGACCCCGTTTGCATTCTTCCTAGTCCTCC